TCACAGACCTTACTTCCACTCCCAGCCTCATTCCCTCTCCACATGAAAGCCAGAGCAAGCGTTTAATGATGTCAATCAGATCATATCACCCTCTGCTTAAAACTCTTCAGTGACATCCCAAGGCACTTTGAATAAAATCTAAATTCTCACCACCCAGTACCTAGGGGCTGAGACCTTGTCAAGGGTCTATTAAAGATGTTTGGGGGGAAGGGGGAATAAATGAGCCCACAAAGATATAAAATCAAAACTGTTACCTTTGTCAGTACGTAACAGCACGTCAACTAATCCTTAATTTCAACTCAAGCTTTATGTCATTATTTCCATATTTTATATTAACTTGTTGGATATAATGTAGAGTTGGTCTGCAGAAGTAGAAAAATCTGTCCAACCATTCCCTTTTCCCTGAGCCCTTCCCCTAACTGGCTCCTTCTCCTCCTTCAGTTCTCAAATTGTCACCCAGTCAGCGGGACCTTGATGACCAGTCCATTTGAAGTAGCCCCCCCCCCAACACACACACCCCGATGCCCCACCCCCGGCTTCTTTCTTCTATAACACTGCTCTCACCAGCGCTACTCTCGCCATCTGTAGATAATTTGTCTGCTTGTTCTATCTTCCCCATTGGACGAATAAACTCCATTAAGGCAGAAAACGAATGTGTTTTGCTCTCTGTTACATCTTTAGGGCCTGCTCCAATGCCTGGCCCAGAGCAGGCTTCAGAAAATAGTTACCGAATGATTGAATGCATAAATGAGTAAGAATTTAATCTTTAAGCAGGAGGCCTAGCTAGAAAGATTCGTCATGGACTCCAACTGGAGAGGTTGGAGGCACACGTCCTTTGATTCTAGACAGACACATGGCTTCAAAAAGGGATGTTTGAAGAGTTTTTTTCCAACAAGTGTAGATGAAAACTCGCGTAACTGACTCTATCGGGGCTGAGGAAAGGGACTCAAACACTGGCTCCAAACCAGGTGCAGGGAAAGGAAGTGAAGCAGTATGGCTCCCCAGGCTGGGGCTCTGGGATAGCACCCTCCCCTCCCCCAGACTCTAACGGCTCCAGCCCCTTCACGTCTTCCAAAGGGAAGAGTGGCTGAGGCCTCGGTTGGGAGGGGGATGTCCCAGAACCTCACCTTCGTTAATTATTCATGAAAGGAGGGTTTTTATGGGAGCTTGCTCTTGCTATTCATGAGAAGACGGGGCCTCCTTCCCTCGGGGACTTCCGGGAGGAATCTTAACTTACTCGAGGGAAGGCGGGCGCTACAGGCAGGGGGAATTGCTTGCTATTCATAAGGGGGCGGGGCCTCCTTCCCGCTGAGGCTCTCGGGAGAATCTAAAATATTCATGAGGGAGGAGGGCACGACGAGAGCCGAGGTCCTTGCTATTCATGAGGGGGCGGGGCCTGCCGCCCGCTGGGGCTCCTGGGAAGATTCTAAAAGGTTCTTGAGGCCACGGGGGCGCCTGGGAGGCGGGAGCGCGGCTCCGGACCCGACGAGAGCGGGAGCCTCCCTTTTCCTGGCGGGAAAAGCTTGAGGAGACCTTTTTTTTTTTTTTTTTAACACAGGAATTTGAGGATGGTGGGACTAAGCGACTAAATCCCACTGCTCCGTTACTTTTTAACCGGAAAGCGGTCCAAATCTGTGGTAAAGAGAGGTCCCCCGTACTCTCCTGAGCTAACGTCGTCTTTCCGTGGCCTGCAGGGGGTGAGCGGTGCATCCCTGGCGGTTTGAGTCCCGCAGGGGCCGGTGCCCTCGGGACCTCCCTCGTGCCCTCCGTGGGGAGCGTTTCGGGCTGCGACCCGAGCAGACGGCGTGGGGTGGCTCCTCGGGGCGCTTTGCGTCCAAAGAAAACAGAAATCTATGTGCCATGTGCCCTTGGACGTTTTTCTCGGAAAGGGGGAAAATATCAACGACCAAAAAAAAGATGGAGCCCGGGGACTCTTTCCAGCATGTTCGGAATGAGCGGGGGGCGGGGGCGTGGAAAGCACCTGGGCTGCCCGTCGTGGGCTGGGACTCTTGCCCCTGGGGGATGAGGGGACACCCGAAGACCTTGGGGTCACGCCTTTAGGGCTTCCCCGAGCCTGGGGGACCCCCCGCAGGAGCCGAGAGTAGGGGATTGTAAGAGGAGACTTGAGCTTTAAAAGGATTGAGGCCTATTTTTTAAATCCTCTCAGTGGTTCAACAATACTTAGACTTCGGGGTTGACACGCCGAAGTCCCTCCCCCAGGTGACAGGCCCCTCCCTCCCCCGGTCCCAGAGGACTCTTCGTCAGACAGAGGACGAGTCCCAGGCCGGATTGGCATTTGACTGTCCTGAAAGTGCTGTAAAACGTCCACCGTGAAAAGTTACAAACGAGTAAATCAAGGCAGATTCTCTTACTCGGTGGCATGACACACGGCCACTGAGATGTCTGCACTGGCAGAAGCGTGTTTATTGGCGTGGAAAGAGAATTCATTGAAAAAAAATTGCGAAATAGTATGACTGCTGATCCCCGTCTCTTGTTAAAAAAAAAAAAAAAAGCACTAAGTAGGCACCTAGATTCTGAGATGGTACAAGCCCAGAGGTTATACATGAATTGAAGTTTCTTCTTTTTGTTGAGCTGGATTTTGTCAGCTTTTTGACGTCACTTGTGTCATTGTAATGATTATTTTTAAATACCCGTTCATTTCAGTGTTCACTGAACACTGAAGCAAAGCGTTGTGGTGGGCAGTTGAAGCGAGTCCCTTGGGTGTTTCTCACCAACCACTCAGTGTCTTTGTGACGTTTTCAAATGCATTACCAATTTTAAATGGAGGCAGGTTGATACGTAACCTTTTCAGGTGAATGAGTGACAATGTGATTTTGACAATTTGGCAGGAAAAGAGAATATGCATTTTGGTCAGATATATTTGTAACTCATTGATGAAATGTCTTAGTTGTTACTTCAGAAACAGGAAAGCTTAGCTCGAGTTGTATTGGTTATGCACAAGTACGGGCATGCCCAAAAAATGTATACACACTCTAAGCAATGTTATCGGTATATTACCTTTAGTTTGTGGGAATCAGAAGTGTATGGACGCTGATGGTAACCACTTTGAACACCTCTTATCATGCAGAAGTCAAACATGACTTACATTCGTCTACAATTTTAATACAGTTTTTTTCCTTTCTTAACATGTGTATACATTTTTCTGGGATGCTCATACACACACACACACACACGCACATGCACATTGTTTTCTGAACTGAAACAATAAAGTGACACAAAGTCACTCTGCTTGATACATAATATATTTCTAGAGAATTATTTAGTATAAGTAATCAGTATTTTAATAAGTCACATTTAATAATTTCTCTTTAAGAAATATTTGTTGAACCAGGCTCAGTGGCTCAGCCTGTAATCCCATGCTTTGGGAGGCTGAGGTGAGTGGATTGCCTGAGCCCGTGGGTTCAAGACCCGGCTGGGCAACTTAGCAAGACCTCATCTCTACAATAAATCAAAAAACTACCCAGGCGTTGTAGTGCGTGCCTGTAGTTCCAGCTACTTGGAAGGCTGAGGCAGAAGGATCGCCAGAGGCCAGCAGGTTGAGGCTGCGGTGGCCGGGAGCATGCCACCGCACTCCAGTCT